GTCGGCCTGGCCTGCCTGTCATAGGCCAGGCCTAAAAAACGTGGCCTGTGCCTGTGACAGGCAGGCAGGCCCAGGCAGGCAGGCAGGCCTAGTGGCCTGGTTGGACCTCTGGTGGCTAAGGCAATAATCACACCCTGCCATGCCATTATGGGTAAATCATATTTCAAAATGAGCAAATCACATGATTTTAGCAATCATTTTAGGTTCGTAAGTATATTTGTAACTATTTGGCGTGGCTATTACTTATGAAGTGTCCTAATCATGATTTCAGTTGGTATGTGATCTGTCATCGATGGGCTTCTCCAACACAAGAATTGGATAATATACTTGGAACAATTGATAATCATTAAGCTAAGATTCCTTCTGAATCAGTGTTGAATAATACAGTCAAGTTGTTATCAACCAATGTTATAGATTTTAACAAGAAACCTTTCAAATTTTTAGAATATCAAGCAAAACAACACTCTGATTCGATATTAGAATCTACTGTATCTCCAGAAACCGAAATTTATGATTCTCGTCATCATCAGAAAACATTTAATGAATAATACACATGTGATATGGATATGGTTCGTTCTGAGCTACGTGTTATAGTATCTCAACTTGCTATTCTTATTAATTATTCTCGACAAAAAGTGAAAGATGATAGTGAATCTCAAGATTGGCAATTTGTGGTAATGATCATCGATTGTCTTTGTCTAGTGTTTTTTCTATAATCATGTTTCTTTGTACTGCACATACATTTCTCAATGTTTAACTATTTTTTACCTTTAATCTATTGCTTTTTTATTTGCTATTGAACCAGTTTTTATCTAAACCTGTTCTTTTCGTGTTAAATATATATGCTTTAATAAATTCTATATAGAATATACTGATAATCGTATACAAACTATTCGATCAATGAAATCGAACTACAATATTTACAAAATGAATATGAACAGCCTAGAATTAATTAATGAGACCTATCTTGTATGATAGCATAGATATTTTTTTTCTTTAGTTTTCTTTTGATAAACATGAATACTCAACATAAAATAGTGCCTATAATAGCTCATATATTTTTGATCTGTAACTATCTTTTCTTTGAATATTATCTATTCTTATCGTTAAATAAACTACATATTTCACTGTTTTTCAATTTTTGAAAACAAAAATCATACAAAAAGAGTAGGTTTCTAATTTTGCGCACGTAGAATATTGCGAAAAGATCAATTTTTTAATACTTTGGCTCTATTGTAAAAAAAAATGAACTTCATCAACACTGAATTACTCCGGAAAGCCGAAGTTGAAAGAGTTTACATGTTACTTTCTTGCAAGTGTCTCCATTATTTTTCGCTAGAATATTGAACTGAGAACGGCTATTGTTTAAGTATTCATTTTTCTGCTAACTCTATTAGATACCTCAGAAGTTCGACTCTCCTGCATAGTCAACAACTCAGAGCCATAAATGATTTACACGATTATAACTCTTTCGGCTTCTACATCGGAAGAAAAAATCTATGACAAATCAAGAATGAGTGGATATTGAAGATGTATATACAATCAAATCGAAAGTTATTTTATATCAAATGATGATTTATTAAATATAACATATTCGTTTTCAAATTAAGCTCTTACTGGGAATTCGTTGCAATATTAATGATTCAATCTTCAAGTTAAATGCTATAGGTCTAACCCAAATCCTTCAACACTAAACCACCTTGAATATGTTATTAAAACCTGGCTATGTTTAGTAATATGCAATATTAGAGAAATCTTTCGACTTCAGTTCCAACAACAAAAGAGTGTCGGTACCCTAGTCTCAATCCTGTTCATTCCTTGAGAAACCCTGAAAGGATCTGTCAGGATCCTGAATCTCAAGGATCCTGCTAAGTTTTATTCAGGATCCTGTCTCGAATCCTAGAAATTCCT